CACCTCTGAGGGGGGGCCCCGCAGGAGTGGTTGGTGGGGTCCATGTGGAGTTGGTGGTGTTAGACATGCAAAAAACCTGAAAAGATATCTCCAAAGGCCAATCTTAGATTCTGCAGTAGTGATGTTATCTGCAGGAGTAACTGGGGAAGTTGCCTAGCTTGTGACCTCTGGAATAATGGCTGGCAGTCTTCACAGAATTTGGGCTTCTCTGTGCTCCTAGCCTGGTGGTGTCTCATTAGCTTTACAAAAGTGGCTGCATTTTAGGGAAGGGCTATTTTCATTTAAACTATAAACTAAATGTCTCCCAAAGTTAGCTTGGCCCAACCCCGGGAATAATTAAGGGCAACTTAGCAGCCAAAGGCAAGAGGGGAATTGGCTAGATCAGATCTACCCCTTTCCCCTGCTGCCCTAATTCTCTCACTGATGCAATTTTTGCAAAGGACATCTTACTTCTCTATCAAACTATGACTCTGAGGAGATCTTTTTGCTCATTGTTGGACATTATGGGCTGTATAGTGTGTTCCTTGTTCTGAAGAAATAATGGTCAGCTTTCCAAATCTATGCACTGTCTCTTGTTCTGCTTTTTCATTTTTTTTTAATTTAATTTTGCTTTTGTGAGCGTCTCACTCTGTCACCCAGGCTGGAGTGCAATGGTGCAATCATAGTTCACTGCAGCCTCGACCTTGCAGGCTCAAGCGATCCTCCTATCTCATCCTCCCAAGTAGTTCGGATTATAGGCATGCACCACCATACCCGGCTAATTTTTGTATTTTTAGTAGAGACAAGGTTGCCCTCAAACTCCTGAGCTCAAGTGATCTGCCCGCCTCAGCCTCCTCAAGTGCTGGGATTATAGGCATGAGCCACGGCACCCGGCCTTGTTCTGATTGTTTTGAAGCATTTGTAACTTCCAGCAGGTAAGCAAAGCCCAGTCCAGAGTCACTGTCTGTTCCTATCAAGGAACAGAGTTCCGTGGTACTGCCCCAGGGCTACCAGCATGAGTCTCACTTGCCAGCTATGATCAGGACCTTCCACGATGTGATCTGCACCATAGCCACAGGCAGTCTCTGTCTCTTTTGCTGACAAACAGAACGGTTCTTCCTGGCACTGTGTGCCTGAGAGGGTTCAAGAGGAAGTTGATAAAGAAAGTCAAATGCGGCAAGGTGCGGTGGCTCACGCCTGTAATCCCAGCACTTTGGGAGGCCAAGCTGGGTAGATCACCTGAGGTCAAGAGTTCGAAACCAGCCTGACCAACAGGGCGAAACCCTGTCTCTACTAAAAAAAATTATAAAAATTAGCCAGGCATGGTGGCAGGCGCCTGTAGTTCAACTACTCGTGAGGCTGAGGCAGGAGAATCTCTTGAAGCCAGGAGGCGGAGGTTGCAGTGAGCCAAAATTGCACCACTGAACTCCTGCATGACAGAGCAAGACTCTGTCTCAAAAAAACAAACAAACAAAAAAATTAGCTGGGTATGGTGGTAGGTGCAGCTACTTGGCAGGCTGAGGCAGGCAAATCGCTTGAACCCCTGAGGCTGGGATTGCAGTGAGCTGAGATCATGCTGAGATGGAGTTGTTCCCTTGACCCCTTTGGTTCCCTGGTTGGGAACTGGAGTGACTCGTTTTACTCAGCCTGTCACTGGCCGTTCCTCAAGAGAGGGAGCATGGGAGCAAGCAAGTGCAGCAACAGGATGGAACAAACCAGCCCATCGCTCCTCTCTGGTGGGAGCAGGCTCTGTGCAGAGCCCGCAGCAGCATCCAAGCCTGTGCCTCTCGGCACCCGGGTTCTTGTCTGGCATCCAGGAAGAATCAGGTCACACAAACAGATTGAAGGGTAGTGTATGCTGAGGATTTTATTGGGTGATAGCTCTTAGAGGGATGGGAGTTGGAAAGGGGATGGTATGGGAAGAAGGCGATCTTTCCCTGAAGTTGCACCGTTTGAAGTTAGCTGCTTCTGTCTGTATCCTCTGACTCACAGTTGCTGCTTCTCTGCTCACTGCTCAGCAGCTTGTATCCCTGACCATCAGCCCCAGGGAGAGGCCCCATAAATATGGGGTCATATCTATGATGGGACACCAGCCCTACCAGGCAGGCAACAGAGCAAGACTCTGTCTCAAAAAAAGTAAAAAAAAAAAAAAAATGGCCCAAGTGCGGTGGCTCATGCCTGTAATCCCAGCACTTTGGGAGGCTGAAGCGGGTGGATCACGAGGTCAGGAGATCGAGACCATCCTGGCTACCATGGTGAAACCCCGTCTCTACTAAAAATACAAAAACATTAGCCGGCATGGTGGCAGGCACCTGTAGTCTCAGCTACTCGGGAGGCTAAGGCAGGAGAATGGTGTGAACCCGGGAGGCGGAGCTTGCAGTGAGCCAAGATCACGCCACTGCACTCCAGCCTAGGTGACAGAGCGAGACTCCATCTCAAAATAAATAAATAAATAAATAAATAAATAAATAAATAGTTGAAGGCAGCCAGATGTGGTGGTACGCACCTGTAGTCCCTTGGGAGACTGAGGCAAGGGGAATCACTTGAGTCCAGGAGTTTGAGGCTGCAGTGGGCTATGATCCCACCAGTGCACTCCAGCCTTGGTGACAGAGTGAGACCTTGTACAGCCACATGCCACATACACACATTTGGGTCAATGACAAAGCACGTATACACAGTGGCCCAAAAGATTATATGACACTGTATTTTTTACTATTGACCATTTTTTACCATTTTCTCTCCTATGTTTGCTTATGTTCAGATATACAGATACCATTGTGCTACAGTTGCTTCCAGTGTTCTGTACAGCCACACGTGGTGCAGGTTGATAGCCTGCGAACAATAGGCTCCACCATACAGCACCAGGGCTGCAGTAGGCTGTACCATCTAGGTTTGTGTAAGTACACAGTGATGTTCACACAACGACGAAATCACCTAACTGCATTTCTGAGAACACATCTCTGTTATCGTTTGAATGCATGTCTACAATTGTAACAGAGATCATAGAGCCCACAAAGCTAAAAAATGTACTGTGTACTCATTTATAAACCCCTGTTTTATGGGATTGGAAGGAATGGGTTACATAGAGATTGGAATGGAACAATACTTCTCCACATAGCTTTTTATTTTATTTTATTTTATTTTATTTTATTTTATTTATTTTAGACTGAGTCTCTCTCTGTTGCCCAGGCTGGAGTACGGTGGTGCAAGCTCAGCTCACTGCAACCTCTGCCTCCCGGGTTCAGGCGATTCTCATGCCTCAGCCTCCCAAGTAGCTGGGATCACAGGTGCTTGCCATCATGCCTGGCTAATTTTTGTATTTTTAGTAGAGATGGGGTTTCACCAGGTTGGCCAGGCTGGTCTTGAACTCCTGACCTCAAGTGACCCACCTGCCTCAGCCTTCCAAAATGCTGGAATTGCAGGTGTGAACCACTGCACCCAGCCTAATTTTGTATTTTCAGTAGAGATGGAATTTCGCCATGTTGGCCAGGCTGGTCTCAAACTCCTGATCTCAGGTGATCTGCCCACCTTGGCCTCCCAAAGTGATGGGATTACAGGCATGAGCCACCGTGCACGGACTTTTTATTTATTAATTTTTTTATTTTTATTTTTATTTTTATTTTTTTGAGACGGAGCCTCGCTCTGTCGCCCAGGCTGGAGTGCAGTGGCCGGATCTCAGCTCACTGCAAGCTCCGCCTCCTGGGTTTATGCCGTTCTCCTGCCTCAGCCTCCCGAGTAGCTGGGACTACAGGCGCCTGCCACCTCACCCGGCTAGTTTTTTTTTGTATTTTTTAGTAGAGGCGGGGTTTCACCGGGTTAGCCAGGATGGTCTCGATCTCCTGACCTTGTGATCCGCCCGTCTTGGCCTCCCAAAGTGCTGGGATTACAGGCTTGACCCACCGCGCCCGGCCTGACTTTTTATTTTTTTTAGAGACAGAGCCTCCCTCCGTCATCCATGCTGGAGTTCTGTGACGCTCTGATAGCTCACTGCAGCCTCGAACTCCTGGGCTCCAGCTATCCTCCCACCTCAGCCACCCAAGTAGCTGGTACTACATGTATTTCTAGCCTGCCAAATTTTTTTCTTTTTTGTAAAATCAGGCTGTTGCTTTGTTCTCAGGCTGGTCCTGAACTCCTGGCCTCAAGCAGTCCTCCCACCTTGGCCTCCCAAAGCACTGGGATTACAGGTGTGAGCCACCATTCAGGGCCACACATAGCTTTTTAATTTTTTTTGTTTGTTTGTTTGAGATGGAGTTTCACTCTTGTTGCCTAGGCTGGAGTGCAATGGCACGATCTCGGCTCACTGAAACTTCTGCCTCTCGGGTTCAAGTGATTCTCCTGCCTCAGCCCCCCAAGTCGCTGGGATTACAGGCATGCGCCACCATGCCCGGCTAATTTTGTATTTTTAGTAGAGACGGGGTTTCTCCATGTTGGTCAGGCTAGTCTTGATCTCCCGGCCTTAGGTGATCCACCTGCCTCAGCCTCCCAAAGTGCTGTGATTACAGGCATGAGCCACTGCGCCCGGCCGTGGTTTGTTTCTGTTTGTTTGTTTGTTTTTAATACATGAATGCGTATTATATCAATTATTTATTTATTTATTTATTTTGAGACGGCATCTTGCTCTATCACCCAGGCTGGAGTGCAGTGGCACGATTTCGTCTCACTGCAACCTCCACCTCCTGGGTTCAAGCAATTCTCCTGCTCCAGCCTCCTGAGTAACTGGGATTACAGGCGCATGCCACCAGCTAATTTTTGTATTTTTAGTAGAGATGGGGTTTCACCATGTTGGTCAGGCTGGTCTGAAACTCTTGACCTCGTGATCCACCTGCCTCGGCCTCCCAAAGTGCTGGGATTATAGGCATGAGCCACCATGCCTGGCAAAAATTTTTTTTTAATTTTAAAACACTGCCCACTGGAATTAGTCTTCAAGATGCTGTTGGTCTCATATATCTGCTAATCTCTGTTTTGCAGTCTATTTGACTTATCAGGAAACTTCAAAATCCATCTCAACTGTTTGGTTATAGGAGCCCATGATGCTGCCCAAACCTGGGACCTATTACTTCCCCTGGGAGGTCAGTGCAGGCCAAGTTCCTGATGGGGGCACACTGAGAACATTTGGCAGGTGAGAATGGTTTTTTTAATTTTTTTCAGTGGTGGGGGTGATGGTTAAATGTCTTTCTCTACCCCCCCAAAAAAAAATAGTTAGGGCTGGGCGCGGTGGCTCATGCCTGTAATCTCAGCACTTTGGGAGGCCGAGGTGGGTGGGTGAATCACCTGAGGTCGGGAGTTTGAGACCAGCCTGACCAACATGGAGAAACCATGTCTCTACTAAAAATACAAAATTAGCCTGGCATGGTGGCGTGTGCCTGTAATCCCAGCTACTCGGGAGGCTGAGGCAGGAGAATTGCTTGAACCTGGGAGGTGGAGGTTGCAGCAAGCTGAGATTGTGCTATTGCACTCCAGCTTGGGCAACAAGAACAAAACTCCATCTCAAAAATAAAAAATAAAAATAAATAACTATATACACACACACATATATACACACACATATATATACACTGAAAAAATTAATATTCACTGTAAAAAGTGTAGATAGTCCATAAAAGTATAGAGAGGAAGGAAAAGTCACCCATAATCCCATTGCCCAGACAACCACTGCTAACCTTTGGTGATTATCCTCATGTGCTCTTCCATGTGTATGTGTTTGTATATGTGGGTGGGTATAGAGACACCTGATATACATATATACATATATACTTTGTCAGTTATTTATCAGTTATATATTGCTGTGTAACAAATTACCCACACACACAATTTTAGTTTTTCATAGAAACAGGGTCTCCCTATATTCTCAAGGTTGGTGTCAAACTCCTGGGCTCAAGTGATCCTCCTGACTCAGCCTTCCAAAGTGCTGTGCTCAGCCACTGTGCTCGGCCTCCCCCAAATTTAAAATAATTATTGTCTCATAGTTACTATGGGTCAGGAATTTGGGAGTAGTTTAACTGTTTGGATCTGGCTCAGGGTCGCTCATGGGAGTGGCATCCAGATGTTGGCCAGGGCTGCAGTTATCTGGAGGCTTGACTGGGGCCAGGACTTCTACTTCCAAGGTGGCTTGTTCACGTTTGGCAAAGTAGTGCTGGCTCTTGGCAAGATAACTCAGTTCCTGACAATGTGGATTTCTCTGTAGTTCTGTGTGAGGGTCCTCGTAACACAGCAGTTTCTGCCAGAAGCAGTGACCAAGAGAAAGAGCAGAATGAAAACCACAATGTCTTTCATGACTTAGCTTCCAAAGTCAGTCTCCGTCATTTCTGCAGTATCCTACTGATTACACAGGTCAGCCTTACTCAGCATCGTAGACGATGCACAAGGATGTAAATATTAGAGGGTGAGAATCACAGGGGACCATCTTAGAGACATGTGTACATACATAGAGAAGTATTTTAACCTAGGCCAGGTGTGGTGGCTCACGCCTGTAATCCCAGCACTTTGGGAGGCTGAGGCAGGCGGATCACCTGAGGTCAGGAGTTTGAGAACAGCCTGGCCAAAATGGCAAAACCCCGTCTCTACTAAAAATACAAAAATTAGCCGGGCTTGGTGGTGGGTGCCTATAATCCCAACTACTCAGGAGGCTGAGGCAGGAGAATCGCTTGAACCCAGGAGGTGGAGGTTGCATTGAGCTGAGATTGCACCACTGCACTCCAGCCTGGGGGACAAGGTGAGACTCTGTCTCGAAAAAAAAAAAGAGAAAGTAGTATTTTAACCTAGGCCAGGTGCGGTGGTTCATGTCTGTAATCCCAACACTTTGGGAGGCCAAAGTTGGTGGATCACCTGAGGTCAGAAGTTCAAAACCAGCCTGGCCAACATGGTGAAACCCCATCTCTACAAAAAATACCAAAATTAGCCAGGCATGGTGGCAGGCGCCTGTAATCCCAGCTATTTGGGAGGCTGAGGCAGGAGAATTGCTTGAACCCATAAGGCAGAGGTGGCAGTGAGCCAAGATCACGTTCCAGCTTGGGTGACAAGAGTGAAATTTGGTCTCAAAAAAAAAAAAAAGTATTTTGACCTAGTTAAAGGCTGGGTGTGGAGGCTCACATCTGTGATCCTAGCACTTTGAGAGGCTGAGGTGGGAGGATTGGTTGAGTCCAGGAGTTTGAGACAAGCCTGGGCAACAGGGTGAAACCCTGTCTCTACAAAATATACAAAAAATTAGCCAGGCATGGCAGTGTGCGCCTGTAGCCTCAGCTACTGGGGAGGCTGAGGTAGGAGGATCACCTGAACCTGGGAGGTCTAGGCTGCAGTGAGCCGAGATTGCACCATTGCACTCCATCCTGGATGACAGAGTGAGATCCTGCCTCAAAAAAAAAAAGAAAGAAAAGAAAAAAAAGAAGAAAGCAGTGTTTTAACCTAGATGAGATCCTATTGTATTACTGTACTGTAGCATTTATTTACTTAGCTGTGTATGGTAGACCTAGTTCCATGTCAGACATGTAGATCTCCATCATCATTTTGAATAGTTCCATTTTGTTTCACTGTGGTGATATGGCATCATTTACTTAGCCAAATCTTTTTTTTTTTTTTTTTTTTTGAGATGGAGTCTCGCTCTGTCGCCCAGGCTGGAGTGCAGTGGTGTGATCTCGGCTCACTGCAACTTCTGCCTCCTGGGTTCAAGTGATTCTCCTGCCTCAGCCTCCTGAGTAGCTGGTATTATAGGCACCTGCCACCACATCCGGCTAATTTTTTTTATTTTTTAGTAGAAATGGTATTTCACCATCTTGACCAGGCTGGTCTTGAACTCCTGACCTCGTAATCCACCCGCCTTGGCCCCCCAAAGTGCTGGGATTACAGGCATGAGCCACCGCGCCCAGCCTACTTAGCCAATACTTTATTGATTTTTTTTTTTTTTTTTTTTGAGACAGAGTCTCGCTCTGTTGCCCAGGCTTGAGTGCAGTGGCATGATCTTGGCTCACTGCAAGCTCCACCTCCCGGGTTCACACCATTCTCCTGCCTCAGCTTCCCGAGTAGCTGGGACTATAGGCACCTGCCACCACACCTGGCTATTTTTTTTGTATTTTTTTTTTTTTAGTAGAGACAGGGTTTCACCATGTTGGCCAGGATGGTCTCCATCTCCCGACCTCATGATCTGCCCACCTCAGCTTCCCAAAGTGCTGGGATTACAGGTGTGAGCCACTGCGCCCAGCCTTTTTTTTTTTTTTTTCTTTTTTTTTAATTGAGATGGAGTCTTGCTCTGTCGCCAGGCTGGAGTACAGTTGCTCAAGTTTGGCTCACTGCAACCTCCAACTCCCTGGTTCAAGCGATTCTTCTGTCTCAGCCTCCCAAGCGATTCTCCTGTCTCAGCCTCCCAAGTAGCTGGGCTTACAGGTGCGCACCACCACACCCAGCTAATTTTTGTATTTTTTTTTTTTTTGAGACGGAGTCTTGCTCTGTCGCCCAGGCTGGAGTGCAGTGGCTGGATCTCAGCTCACTGCAAGCTCCGCCTCCCGGGTTTATGCCATTCGCCTGCCTCAGCCTCCCGAGTAGCTGGGACTACAGGCGCCCACCACCTCGCCCGGCTAGTTTTTGCTTATTTGTTTTTTTTGGAGACGGAGTCTCTCTCTGTCGCCCAGGCTGGAGTTGCAGGAATTCACCACCGGATCACTCACTGCTCACGCAAGCTCCGCCTCCCGGGTTCCTTACATTCTCCTGCCTCAGCCTCCCGGTAGCTGGGACTACAGACGCCCGCCACTGTGCCCGGCTAGTTTTCTGTAGAGTCTCGCTCTGTCGCCCAGGCTGGAGTGCAGTTACCGGATCTGCTCACTGCTCACTGCAAGCTCCGCCTCCCGGGTTCACGCCATTCTCCTGCCTCAGCCTCCCGAGTAGCTGGGACTACAGACGCCCGCCACCTCGCCCGGCTAGTTTTCTGTATTTTTAGTAGAGACGGGGTTTCACCGGGTTAGCCAGGATGGTCTCGATCTCCTGATCTCGTGATCCGCCCGTCTCGGCCTCCCAAAGTGCTGGGATTACAGGCTTGAGCCACCGCGCCTGGCCAGTTTTTTGTATTTTTTAGTAGAGACGAGGTTTCACTGTGTTAGCCAGGATGGTCTCGATCTCCTGACCTCGTGATCCGCCCGTCTCGGCCTCCCAAAGTGCTGGGATTACAGGCTTGAGCCACCGCGCCTGGCCATTTTTGTATTTTTTTATGTAGAGATGGGATTTCATCATGTTGGCCAGGATGGTCTCCATCTCTTGACCTTGTGATCTGCCTGCCTCAGCCTCCCAAAGTGCTAGCATTACAGGCGTGAGCCACCATGCCCGGCTTTATTGATTTTCTTTTTTTTTTTTTTTTTTTTTTTTTTTGGTCTCCATCTCTGACCTTGTGATCTGCCTCTGCCCCAGCCTCCCAAAGTGCTAGCATTACAGGCGTGAGCCACCATGCCCGGCTTTATTGATTTTCTTTTTTTTTTTTTTTTTTTTTTTTGAGACAGAGTCTCGCTCTGTCGCCCCAGGCTGGAGTGCAGTGGGCGCAATCTCAGCTTCACTGCAAGCTCCGCCTCCCGGGTTCATGCCATTCTCCTGCCTCAGCCTCCCGAGTAGCTGGGACTACAGGCGCCCGCCACTGTGCCTGGCTAATTTTTTCTATTTTTAGTAGAGACGGGGTTTCAGCATGGTCTCGATCTCCTGACCTTGTGATCCGCCCGCCTCGGCCTCCCAAAGTGCTGGGATTACCAGCATGAGCCACTGCGCCCAGCTAGATATTAATATGGTAGGGGAAACATCTTGATCTCTACTTCACAACATGCAAAAAAAAATTTACACTGTGTCATAGATTACAAGCTAAAGCTGCACTGTCTCCAGAAAACCAGAAAATATCTTTACAACCTTGAGTAGGCAAAGTTGTTTTTTTTTTTTTTTTTTTTTTTTAAATAGCGTTTATAGCCCATATTGAAAAAGAAAAGATGGCCAGGCACAGTGGCTCATGAGTGTAATCCCAGCACTTTGGGAGGCTGAGGCAGGTGGATCGCTTGAGCCCAGGAGTTTGAGACCAGCGTGGACAACATAGCAAAACCCCATCTGTACAAAAAGTTAAAAAATTAGCCAGGTGTAGGCTGGGCGCAGTGGCTCATGCTTGTAATCCCAGCACTTTTGGAGGCCGAGGCGGGCGGATCACAAGGAGATCGAGACCATCCTGGCTAACATGGTGAAACCCCATCTCTGCTAAAAATAGAAAAAAATTAGCAGGGCGTGGTGGCGGGCACCTGTAGTCCCAGCTACTCAGGAGGCTGAGACAGGAGAATGACATGAACCCAGGAGGCGGAGCTTGCAGTGAGCTGAGATAGTGCCACTGCACTCCAGCCTGGGCAACAGAGCGAGACTCCATCTCAAAAAAAAAAAAAAAAAATTAGCCAGGTGTGGTGGCAAGTACCTGTAGTCCCAGCTACTCAGGAGGCTGAGATGGGAGGATTGCTTGAGCAGCCTGGAAGGTCAAGGCTGCAGCCTGGGATACAGAAAAAAAAAAAAGAAAGAAAGAAAGAAAGGAAAAAAAAGATTTCTTCGACAAGACATAGAAAGCAAAAGTCATAAAAGAAAAAAAAAACCAGCACATGAGCCATCGTTTCAGCTAGATATTGGCACATGGTAGGGAAGATCTTGATCTCACTTACAACATGCAAAAAATTTGATAATGTGTCATAGATTGGCAAGCCAAAGCCAAAAATTGTCTCAGAAACTAGAAAATATCTTTACAACCTTGAGTAGGCAAAGTTGTTTTTTTTTTTTTTTTTTTTTTTTTTAAATAGCGTTTATAGCCTATATTGAAAAGAAAAGATGGCCAGGCACAGTGGCTCATGAGAGTGAACCTCCCAGCACTTTGGGAGGCTGAGGCAGGTGGATCGCTTGAGCCCAGGAGTTTGAGACCAGCGTGACAACATAGCAAAACCCCATCTGTATGTAAAAAGTTAAAAAATTAGCCAGGTGTGGCTGGGCGAGTGGCTCATGTGCTTGTAATCCCAGCACTTTTGGAGGCCGAGGCGGGCGGATCACAAGGAGATCGAGACCATCCTGGCTAACATGGTGAAACCCCATCTCAAGCAAAAATAGTTAGCAGGGCGTGGTGGCGAGCACCTGTAGTCCCAGCTACTCAGGAGGCTGAGACAGGAGAATGACATGAACCCAGGAGGCGGAGCTTGCAGAGCTGAGATAGTGCCACTGCACTCCAGCCTGGGCACAGAGCGAGACTCCATCTCAAAAAAAAAAAATTAGCCAGTGTGGTGGCATCAGTCCGTTACCAGGAGGCTGAGATGGGAGGATTGCTTGAGCAGCCTGGAAGGTCAAGGCTGCAGCCTGGGATACAGAAAAAAAAAAAAAGAAAGAAAGAAAGAAAGGAAAAAAGATTTCCTTCACAAGACATAGAAAGCAAAGCTGCAAAAGAAAAAAAAAAGGTCGGGTGTGGTGGCTCATGCCTGTAATCCCAGTACTTTGGGAGGTTGAGGTGGTGGACTTACTAGAGGTCAGGAGTTGGCGCTACCAGCCTTGGCCAACATTGTAAAACCTCTTCCCTACTGAAATACAAATTAGGGCCAGGCCTGTGGCAGGCACCTGTAACCTAGCCACTCAAGAGGCTGAGGTACAAGAATTGCTTGAACCTGGGAGGTGAGGCTGCAGGGGCCAAGGCTGCACGACTGCACTCCAGCCTGGGCACAGAGCGAGACTCTGTCCAAAAAAAAAAAAAAGAAAGAAAGAAAAAAATGAATAAACAATGAATAAACTGATCATCAACAAAATTAAAAGCTTCTGCTTATCAAAATATAACATTAAGAAAATTAAAGGCAAGGGGATGAAAATTAAAAGGAATTCCTTCGCATTCTACAATGTAGACTGAAAATTCTTTTTCTGGTTTGTTGCTGCAATTTGCATTTCTCTGATGAGACTGAGGCTGAACACTTTTCTGTAGATTTCTTGGCCGTGCAAACCTTTTGCACGTGGTGGTGATTCTACATATGGATGGAAATTATTGCATTTCCTCTGCCTTCCAGGTTGTGCCTCTATGACATGATCCAGTCCAGAGTAACACTGATGGCTCAGCACGGATCCGATCAACACCAGGTTCTTGTCTGTACCAAGTTGGTGGAGCCCTTCCACGCCCAGGTGGGCTCCCTGTACATTGTCCTCGGGGAGCTCCAGCACCAGCAGGGTGAGCTGTGGCCTCACACCCCCTTTCTCCTCCTGGGGCCTGAGCTGGGGCAGTCTTTGGGGCAGTCAGTGAGGAATGGGCTCATCACCCGACAGCAGTGTTTCATCAGGGTTAATGTTTCTTCCAAATCAGCCCACAAGTTCAAGGACTCTTGAGGATTCAATTCAGAGTGGACTGGCCACATGGTGCCAACTCAAAGACAGGGTGGCTGGTCAGGAGTTCGAGACCAGCCTAGCCAACATGGCGAAACCCCGTCCCTACTAAAAGTACAAAACTTAGCTGGGCATGGTGGCATGTGCCTGTAGTCCCAGCTACTCAGGAGACTGAGACAGGAGAATCACTTGAACCAGGGAGGTAGAGGTTGCAGTGAGCCAAGAGAACCAGGGAGGTAGAGGTTGCAGTGAGCCAGGCTAGTTCAAGACTAGCCTGGAAAATGTAGCAAGCACCTGCCTCTACAAAATAGTAATAAATAAATGGAAATAAAACAATAAACCTTCCTGTGCCAGGCCCAAAGTCCTGTGGGGACACAAAGTTTGATCAGATGTGAATCCTGCCCTGTGGCCAGACTGACGGTTCTGAGGACAGGTGAGAGGTCACCTTTCAGAGATGTTTGCATAAGAACTAGCTGAGAAGACCGACAGGTGAAGACGTGCTGGGCTGCGATAAAACCCACAGACCTGACACCTGCTGGCGCCATCCAAAGGCCCGAGGGCCCCCCGTTCTGGAGCTAAGGTGTGGGGCACAGCCTTTCCCAGGCCTACTCCCGAGGCGCTTGGAGCACACCCAGGCCGAAGGGCACTGGACCACAGCAAGCATCTACCCACAAGCCCTCACCATGCCTCCTCTGCCTTCTGCTTTTCTCTCACCGCACCCCTGCACCTTGCCGTCAGAAACCTTCCTGTGTGGCTGGGCTCAGGGGCTCAGTAATCTAGCATGTTCAGAGGCTGGGGTAGGAGGATCACTTGAACCCAGGATTTTGAGACCAACTTGGGCGACGCAGAGAGACTCCATCTCTACAAAAATGAAAATATTAGCGGGGTGTGGTGGCTTGTGCTTGTAGTCCCAGCTACTTGGAAGCCTGAGGCAGGAGGATGGCTTGAGGCAGGAGTTCGATGCTGCAGTGAGCTCTGATCATGCCACTGCACTCCAACCTGGGTGACAAAATGAGACCCTGTTTCTAAAGAAAAAGAAAAGAGGCTGGGCACAGTAGCTCATGCTTGTAATCCCAGAACTTTTGGGACGCTGAGGCAGGTGGATTTCTTGAGTCCAGCAGTTCAAGACCAGCTGGACAGCCAGCCGCAGTGGCTCACACCTGTAATCTCAGCACTTTGGGAGGCCGAGGTGGGTGGATCACTTGAAGTCAGGAGTTTGAGACCGGCCTGACCAACATGGTGAAACCCCGTCTCTAAAAAAATACAAAAATTAGCTGAGCGTGGTGACGCACGCCTGTAGTCCCAGCTACTCGGGAGGGTGAGGCAGGAGAATCACTTGAACCCGGGAGGCAAAGGTTGCAGTGAGCTGAGATCACGCCATTGCACTCCAGCCTGGGCGACAAGAGCAAAACTCCATCTCAAAAAAAAAAAAATAATAATAACCAGCCTGGGTAACATGGTGAAACCCCGTCTCTACAAAAAATACAAAAATTAGCAGGGTGTATTGTTGCACACAAGCCTATAGTCCCAGCTACTGGGGAACTTGAGGTGGGAGGATCACTTGAGCCAGGGAGGTGGAGATTGCAGTGAACTGAGACTGTACCACTGTACTCCAGCCTGGGGGACAGAGTGAGACCCTGTCAAAAAAAAAAAAAAAAAAGAAAGAAAAAGAAAGACGAAAGAAAAGAAAGAGAAAAGAGAAGAGAAAGGGAGGGAGGGAAACCTTCTTGTGTGTCCCCTGTGCACCTCCCTCTTCGAGCATCCTTATGGCTCCGGGACTTGCCCAAACCTTCCTCCCCAAACCACACACCCACAGAGTCTGGAGCAGGGCCCGAGTTTCCCCAGCTCCTCAGGTGTGTCAGCATCTCACAACCCTCCCTGTCTCCCTCCTGTCAACCAGTTCCACCAGCAAGCACCTCTGCCCCAATTCCACCTCCCGCGCCTGCTGCCGCACCTTGGACTTGTTTTCCTGAAATTGCATGCCATCCGCTCTCCCTTCTACTTCTGCTGCGTCCCTCTTGCCCTTTCAGGACCTGTGGACTCAGGACTGCTGGACTTTCTTCCCCACCTCTTTTCCCCGCTGGGCCTCACTACCATTTCAGCCACTTTCCTGGCAGCTTCACTCCTGCCGAGACCCCAGCCTCCACCCTCCTGGTCCTGCCAACTGTTGAGTGCAGAAAGATCACAGAGCTCCAAGGATTCGGAGCTCAATGATTTCAGGGGCTCACTGAGGTTTCCCTGCTCTGCCTAGAAACCCTTCCTGTGTCCTGGCCACATCCGCCTCCCAGGCGCCACCACAGCTAGTCCAGAAATTCCCTTGCCTCGTAAGAACTCACTTCCTCTCCTCCCCTGTCCCTCCCAGCTTATTGCTTTATGTCCCAGCTAGAATTGAGGCCACAGGCAGCCGTTCTTCCTCCTACAGTCAGACACTGAAATGGCCACCGTTAGCGCCTTCCTCTAGTCTAAGAGGAAGCAGGGTCCCTCCTACCTAAAGGGTTACCACAGTTCTTCCCTCTCCACATATAAGGCGCTCAAGCCTCCTCTATATGGAAATAATAGTCTCAACGACAAGAAGTCATCATCTACACTAGAGTCCGACCTGCCTGCCCATGACCTTCCCTCCCTTTGCAGACAAACCTAAAAGAACATCTGTGCTCCATATAACGCCTTCCTGTCCCCAGGCCTCACCCCACTGCATTCTGACTGCTTTTTATAACCCAGGCCCTTCTTTACTCCATGTTCTTTATCTTTTTTTTTTTTTTTTGAGACAGAGTCTCGCTCTGTCACCCAGGCTGGGAGTACAGTGGCATGATCTCCGCTCACTGCAACCTCTGCTTCCCAGGTTCAAGTGAGTTTCCTGCCTCAGCCTCCCGAATAGCTGGGATTACAGGAGTGTGCCACCACACCCAGCTAATTTTTGTATTAGTAGAGACAGGGTTTCACTGTGTTGGCCAGGCTGGTCTTGAGCTCCTGACCTCAGGTGATCTGCCCACCTCAGCCTCCCAGAGTGCTGGGATTACAGACATGAGCCACTGTGCCTGTCCTTTTTTTTTGAGACAAGAGTCTTGCTCTGTTGCCCAGGCTGGAGTGCAGTGGCACAATCTTGGCTCACTGCAATATCCACCTCCCTGGTTCAAATGATTATCATGCCTCAGTCTCCCAAGTAGTTGGGATTACAGGTGTGTGCCACAATGCCTGGGTAACTTTTGTATTTTTAGTAGAGACAGGGTTTTGGCATGTTGGCCAGGCTGGTCTTGAACTCCTGGCCTCAAGTGATCCACCTGTCTTGCCCTCCCAAAGTGTTGGGATTATAGTATTGGGAGCCACCGCACCCGGCCCCGATTCCTCTCTAACCTGTGCAGGCTCTGCTGCTCAGCACCAGGCTAACAGAAGCTGAGACACGCAGGCAACCTCATGTTTCAAATGAGTTCATTGTCTAAGGGTAGCCTGTGTAGACAGCTGGAATCTAGGCAGGATGACACCTTGGATTCTGCCCTCAGGCTGTGCTATAAATGACCTAGACTAGAGGAAAGGACAGGCACAGCCTTTATCTCAAAACAGCATAAAAAGAAGACAGTGGGCTGGGCGCGGTGGCTCAAGCCTGTAATCCCAGCACTTTGGGAGGCCGAGACGGGCGGATCACGAGGTCAGGAGATCGAGACCATCCTGGCTAACACGATGAAACCCCGTCTCTACTAAAAAATACAAAAAACTAGCCGGGCGAGGTGGCGGGCGCCTGTAGTCCCAGCTACTCGGGAGGCTGAGGCAGGAGAATGGCGTAAACCCGGGAGGCGGAGCTTGCAGTGAGCTGAGATCCGGCCACTGCAACCTCTGCCTCCCAGGTTCAAGTGATTCTCCTGCCTCAGTCTCCTGAGTAGCTGGGTTTACAGGTGCCAGCCACCACGCCTGGCTAATTTTGGTATTTTTAGTAGAGATGGGGTTTTGCCATGTTGGCCAGGCTGGTCACGAACTCCTGACCTCAGGCGATCTGCCCGTCTCAGAAATCTATTTATTAAAATGCTCAGAGAGCAGAAAGAGCATGAGTGCAAAAATTTTTTTTATTTTATTTTTCCCTTGCAAGCTGTGACTGGAGAAAATAGAAAAAAAAAAAAGCTAGGCACAGTGGCTCACACCTATAATTCTCGCATGTTGGGAGGCCGAGGCGGGCAGATCACTTGATCCCAGGAGTTTGAGACCAGCCTGGGCAACATGGCGAGACCCCATCTCTACAAGAAATACAAAAATTAGCCAGGTGTGGTGGTGCGTGCCTGTAATCCCAGCTCCTGAGGAAGATGAGATGATCACCTGAGCCTGGGAGGTGGAGGCTATACTGAGCCATGATTGACCCACTGCACTCTAGCCCAAGTGACAGAGCAACACCCTGTCTCAAAAAAAGAAATTTTTTTTTAGGTGGAGTCTCGCTGTCTCTCCCAGGCTGGAGTGCAGTGGTGTGATCTTGGCTCACTGCAACCTCCACCTCCTGGGTTCAAGCGATTCTCCTGCCTCAGCCTCACGAGTAGCTGGGACTATAGGCATGCACCACTACACGTGGCCAATTTTTGTATTTTTAGTAGAGATGGGGTTTCGTCATGTTGGCCAGGCTGGTCTGTAACTCCTGACCTCAAGTGTTCCACATGCCTCGGCCTCCCAAAGTGCTAGGATTACAGGTGTGAGCCAGTTCATCTGGCAAAAGAAAGAAAATGTTTAAAAAGTCTCTTATGGCAAATCCCAGATGTCTTTCCTGTTTGGTGCTACCTGAACACTGGCAAGCCTTTCCATTATGGATCAGGTCACCATCGCATCTGCTAGACCCCCTCGTCCACGGTGGGATGACCTGTCCCTATAAAGCCAAACTTACCAGAAGCTCAGTCCCTTGGATTTTTAAAATATGGGTGTCTCTTTTCCCCTGGTTTCTGATGACATTGCGTCCCAAGGTGCCAAGGGGGCCTTTCCTCAGACCAGAGGGCTTTTCTGGCCACCTGCTAAGTTCCAGACACGGGCCTGCTGTGCATGGCAGGCCCACGGTTCTAGGCCCAAGTACGAAATTGCCTTAGGCCCATATGCCGTTGTTATTGTCCACGCAGCTTGCTGCCAAAACCCAGGACTGAGCTGTCGAGGGAACAGCTGGAATGCACTTTGGAGGACGTTATTGACACGCCGCTCAGTCACCTCAGTCACCGCTAGTTCCCTGGTGTTTGTCTTGCAGACGGAGGCTCCCTGGTGAAGGCGCGCGTGCTGACTTGCGTGGAGGGGATGAACCTGCCCTTGTTGGAACAAGCCATCCGGGAGCAGAGGCTGTACCAGCAGGAGCGGGGCGGCGGCCAGTAGGAAACAGCAGCCCAGCAACACCCCCACCTGCTTCCAAGGCCAAACCCTCTGGAGCTGCGGGAGCCCCGGAGAGCGCAGACGCCTCCCCAGTGACGGCCTTGTCTGGAGCCGAAAGCAGAGGGGCGGATGGTGAATCCATCCCCTTCCCCTACTTTGTGATTAGCTCATCAATGAGAACCCAGAAAGCATGCCATAAATCCGACAGCCCCACCCGGGGAGACTGCAGGTGGCTGAGCTCGGGTGCCAGACCGTGCTTGGTGTGGGGCCATGGAGGGTTCCAGAAGGTCCTAGTGAATAAAGGCCCAAGGGGCGTGCCCTCGATGTGTGCTCGTGGTGCAGCGCCGGCGGGGGCCAGGAGGGGGAGCTGCAACCGGGGCTGTGGGCTGCAGCCTCTCAGGGCTTCTGGTGAATTCTGGGCCTGGGGCCTCAGGGGAGGGTGTCAGAGGCCCAGAGGCCGGGGTGGGGGGTCCAGGTCGGGGGCCCAGGATGCAGGGGTCTGCACCTGGTCAGGCTCTGCCTTCTGAGGAGACTGAGCGTCGTCACACGGGCTGGGCCAGGCTGAGCCGGGCCGAGGCCGTGGGCCCTGACTGTGCAGCCTAGGGCAGGACTGTGACTTCAAGACCCTCCCGACCCCTGACCTCTGCCCCCAGTGGCCCTGGCCCCTGGGCAGCCCTTCCTGGCCACCTTGTGCCCCTAGAGCCTGGGCCTGGCCGGGCTGGGCGGGGACCCGGGCGGGAGAGGGTGGTCTTGTTCTCTAAGGCCAGGCACAAGTGAGAGGCCTGGGGGTCCAGGCTGGGCTGGGCGAGGGGTGGCCTCTGACTCCCTGGGGGGCTGGGCTGGGCTGGTTGAAGGGTGTCCCCTGACCCCCTGGGGGATCTGGTTGGGCTGGGCAGGGGACTGGGTGGGAGAGTGTGGGTCCTGCCCTCAGAAGCCAGGCATAGGCGAGAAGCCTGGGGGTCCTGGCTGAGCTGGGCTGGGTGAGGGGTGGCCCCCGACCCCCTGGGGGTTTGGGCTGGACTGGGCGAGGGGCAGTCTCTGACCCCCAGCCAGGTTCCCAGGCAGGATGAGCTGGGGTCGGGGTGGCTGGGCCGCAGGCCTTGGGAGCTAGGCAGCCTGGGTGGGGTGGGGCTGGGCAGGGCGCCACATGGAGGCTGGAGGAGCAATAGGGGTGCTGGGTGTGGGGCACAAATGGCCCAGCGCCTTCTGTTTCCCAGGCAGCTCCGTGGCCATGGATGTGTTCCAGAAGGTAGAGAAGATCGGAGAGGGCACCTACGGGGTGGTGTACAAGGCCAAGAACAGGGAGACAGGGCAGCTGGTGGCCCTGAAGAAGATCAGACTGGATTTGTGAGTGCTGGGACCGCCCCTGAGTTACCCGCCCTGGGCCATCACAACCTGGGCGCTCCCTGATCCGTTCCCTCCTTCCTGGAGTCCACACTTAACTCCTCCGGGTGCTGCCCGGCAGCCCTTACCCATCCTTCCCCCAGCTCGCTGTCTTCTGACCAGCCTTTGCCGGGGCCCTGCTCTGTGGAGCTTGGTGGGTGACATGCCAAGGAGCACAGGTCTCCATTGCTGGGGCCTGGGTAATTCTGTGGGGATAAGGAACGCAGAAGCCAATCCCCCTGGCTGGAAGTGCCCTTCTTGGCCCAAGTCTCTGCCCGTGGGTGTGCCCTTGTTTCTTGCAGGGAGATGGAGGGCGTCCCAAGCACTGCCATCAGGGAGATCTCCCTGCTCAAGGAACTGAAGCACCCCAACATCGTCCAGTGAGTTGAGGATGGAGGCGGGGAAGCTGGGATGGCGAAGGTAGCATCCTGACTGCCATCTTCCTGCCAGGCTGCTGGACGTGGTGCACAACGAGAGGAAGCTTTATCTGGTGTTTGAGTTCCTCAGCCAGGACCTGAAGAAGTACATGGACTCCACCCCAGACTCGGAGCTCCCCCTGCACCTCATCAAGGTAAGGAGGGAAGGGCGGGGAAGGAGAGGTGACACCCCATCCCTGTCATCCCTGTCCACGCAGCGCCTCCACTCAGCTGCCTCCACCTCGCACTCATTTCTCCAGAGCTACCTCTTCCAGTTGCTGCAGGGGGTGAGTTTCTGCCACTCACATCGGGTCATCCACCGAGACCTGAAGCCCCAGAATCTGCTCATCAATGAGTTGGGTGCCATCAAGCTGGCTGACTTCGGCCTGGCTCGAGCCTTCGGGGTGCCCCTGCGCACCTACACCCACGAGGTATTGTGAGACAAAGAGGAGAGAGGGGCAACAGGAGGAGTGTCACCCATGCACTCAGCCACCCTGAGTGATGCTGTTTCCTTGCCCTGCAGGTGGTGACACTGTGGTATCGCGCCCCCGAGATTCTCTTGGGCAGCAAGTTCTATACCACAGCTGTGGATATCTGGAGCATTGGTTGCATCTTTGCAGAGATGGTAGAGAGAGGGGCACACATGGCCACAGGGTGCCACAGGCAGGGTCCTCCTGGTTGGGTGGGGCCCACTGATGCTTCCATTAGAGGTGGATTAAAGAGTGTTTGAGGCATGGTGGCTCACGCCTGTAATCCCAGCACTTTGGGAAGCCGAGATGGGAGGATTGCTTGAGCCCAGGAGTTTGAGACCAGCCTGGGCAACATAGCAAATCCCCAGCATTTAAAAAAATATAAAAATTAGCTGGGTGTGGTGGTGCATGCTTATAGTCCTGAGGCAGGAGGATTGCTTGAGCCTGTGCTTGAGGCTGCAGTGAGCTGTGATTGCACCACTGCACTCTAGCCTGGGCTATAGAGCAAGACTCCATCTCTGTTTTTTAAAAAAAGTTGTTTAGTACTGGCTAAAGGACTGAGGAAGGTAGCCTTCTTCCAAAAAAGGCCAGAATTCTTTGCACAACCATGGGAAAGATATCTTGACAGGCCTCTCCCTGGGTCTGGCCACTTATCTGGTATTGGATTCTGCACAACGAAGTGGCAGACCTCACACCTTCTCTTCTTCCCCATTTCAGGTGACTCGAAAAGCCCTGTTTCCTGGTGACTCTGAGATTGACCAGCTCTTTCGTATCTTTCGTATGCTGGGGACACCCAGCGAAGCCACATGGCCCGGGGTCACCCAGCTGCCTGACTATAAGGGCAACTTCCCTAAGTGGACCAGGAAGGGACTGGGAGAGATCGTGCCCAGTCTGGAGCCAGAGGGCAGGGACCTGCTCATGGTAGGCGCATGTGGGCTCCAGCTGCTGCTCCGACTGCAATGTCCCCTCATCAGCCAGCTTCCTGCATAACCCTGGCACTTTCCGAGTCCAAGGCCAAAGTCTCTTTCCTGACCCTTGTACACAACTGGCTTGTCCTTGTCCTTGGGTGTACTGATTGCTCAGCCTGGAAGCCTACCCCGCGAGAAGTGCAGTATTTCTCTTCCCTGTGGAAGTGGCCTCATTGAGTTAGTTCTGTCTTTCTGCTGTGTGACATGCCCTTTTGCCCTAGTTGCCTTGTGTGTTTGGTTATTCTACTTTGTGGACATTACTGCTCCATCTAAGCTGTATGCCTCCCCAGGCCGGGGCCATACCTTCTTCGCCCAGGCTGGAGTGCAGTGGCCAGATCTCGGCTCACTGCAAGCTCCGCCTCCCAGGTTTACGCCATTCTCCTGCCTCAGCCTCCCGCCCGAGTAGCTGGGACTACAGGTGCCCGCCACCACGCCCGGCTAGTATTTTTGTATTTTTTTTTAGTAGAAACGGAGTTTCACCGTGTTACCCAGGATGGTCTCGATCTCCTGACCTCGTGATCCGCTCGTCTCGGCCTCCCAAAGTGCTGGGATTACAGACTTGAGCCACCGCGCCCGGCCCTTTTTTTTTTTTGAGATGGAGTTTCGCTCTTGTTGCCCAGGCTGGAGTGCAATGGCGTGATCTCAGCTCACTGCAACCTCCACCTCCTGTGTTCAAGTCATTCTTCTGCCTCAGGCTCCCGAGTAACTGGGGCTACAGGTGCCTGTCACCACGCCCAGGTGATTTTTGTATTATTATTATTTTTTTTAGTAGAGACAGGGTTCCACCATGTTGGCCAGACTACTCTCGAACTCCTGACCTCAGGTGATCTGCCCACCTCAGCTTCCTAAAGTGCTGGGATTACAAGCGTGAGCCACTCACTGTGCCCAGCTGGGGCCACTCATTCTACCACCTGGGTGTTCCCCCTGTGACTCCTACAGTGGTCAATCTTCAGAACAGGCTGTCCCCTGCTGCCTGGGCCCATGCCACAGTTCTCACTCACCACTCCTGTTGGTGTCTTGAGCTGTGTACCAGACTGGACTGCCCAGGAAGTCTCTGGCAGAGCCGTGCTTTCTTTTTTTTTTTTTTTTTTTTTTGTGACAGGGTCTCAATCTGTCACCCAGGCTGGAGTGCAGTGGTATGACCATGACTCACTGCAGCCTTGACCTCCTAGGCACAAGCAATCCTCCCATCTCAGCCTCCTGAGTAGGTGGGACCACAGGTACATGCCACTATGCCTGGCTACCTTTTGTATTTTTTTGTAGAGACAGTGTTTCACCATGTTGCCCAGGCTGGTCTCGAACTCCTGAGCTCAGTGGATCCTCTTGCCTCAGCTTCCTGAGTAGCTGAGACTATAGGGGTGCACCACCATGCTCAGCTAATTTTATTTTTGTAGAAATGGGGGTCTTACTATGTTGCTCAGACTGGTCTCAAACTCCTGGGCTCAAGTGATCCTCCTGCTTTGGCCTGTCAAAGTGGGGGATCACAGGTGTGAGCCACTGCACCTGTCCCCTGTCCATTCTTGCCCACAAAGTCTTGGAGCCACATTTCTTTCCTTAATCTGGTGTTGAGTGAGAGGAAGGCGGGTCAGTATTTTCGTCTTCAGGCTGTGTGTCCAGCTCTCCAGAAGTCTCTGCGTATTGTCTACCCGCCCAATGGGAGCAGGACAGCATGGACTCCAGCCAAGGCCCCGAGCCCTCTGTCTGGGCTGCTCCACCACGGGGGGTCCTTCCACATCCTGCCTGGGTCTAGGGACTCTAGGGCAGAGGACTGGACAGGTTTGGCCTCTTGGAGTGTCAGTCCCTGTGCCCCCCACTCAGGGTTTCTCCCTGGACAGCTTCAGTCCCCTGCTTCCTGATACGTGGGGTTCTGTAGTCTTCCCGACTAGAAGCAGGCTGGGACCTGGGACCCTCCCCGAGAAGGGGAGTGACTCAGCTTCAGTGGCCTGAGGAGACCTGGGTGACTCATTAGGACGGTCCAGATTCCAGGAGTGTCCAGAACTGGCTGGAGAGCCAGGAGGTCGTGGTTTCGTGCGGTTCTGGGTTTGAGGGCAGCCAATTTGGGGCTCAGGCCCTTGATCTGGGACCTGGGAGGGGGATTTCTCACCCCACCCTGGCTGCACCCAGACCACATCCTCTTGCTCCTTTCTTCCCAGCAACTCCTGCAGTATGACCCCAGCCGGCGGATCACAGCCAAGACTGCCCTGGCCCACCCGTACTTCTCGTCCCCCGAGCCCTCTCCGGCCGCCCGCCAGTATGTGCTGCAGCGATTCTGCCGTTGAGAACATCAAGACCACACTCAGATCCTCTCTCGAGCAGCTGCTGCCCCAGCTGCCTCCTACCCATTGCTGAGAGAGGACGCATCTGGGGAGAGCAGAGCGCTAAGGAATTTGGCATCAGCCTGCAGAGGGCTGAGTCTAGGTTAGTCCTGCCCACAGGTTAGGGAGATCCTGTGTGTTTTTTGGGTTTGATGGTGCCGTTTCAAAATAGAGGCATGGTTGCTCCATGCACGAGGGGTCCCCAGGCACTGGAACAACATGTGCCAAGTTGAAGGCAGGGGGCCTGCCAGAGCTGGGTGTAGGTGTGCAAGCCCTCACCTGCCCCGCCTGCAGGGCCAGACCCTGAGGAAATGGCGCCCCCTGCTGGTCTTTTTGGATTTAAAATGTTTGGGGGAAGAGTTGAGTTCCAGTTAAGAGTCCCAAGTTAAACAGGAGGGAAGTGAGGGAGAGGAGAGAGGGCATTCCCCGGATCCCAGGAGAGCTGGGCTGTGACTGCACTAAAGAGTCCTTCCTTCACCTGAGATATGCTGCTTTTGGTTCGTTTCTGGCCTGACAACAAGAAATAAATGTGATATGTTCCTGAGTTTTCTGGTTGTACTGCTCACAGGAGACCCCTGGGCTTCCCAAAGGGGACATTGACACAGGGCTGGAGACAGCTCTGGCCCAAACTGAGACAGCGGGGAAATGGGCAAGGAGCAAGGAGCAGGTGGGGAGACAGGAGCTGTCCCGTGATCTTTTTTTTTTTTTTTTTTGACACAGAGTCTCACTCTGTCACCCAGGCTAGAGTGCAGTGACACAATCTCGGCTCACTGCAACCTCCGCCTCCCAGGTTCGAGCAATTCTCCTGCCTCAGCCTCCTGAGTAGTGGGGATTGCAGGCACGCACCACCACACCCAGCTAAATTTTGTATTTTAGTAGAGATGGGGTTTTACCATGTTGGTCAAGTTGTCCTCGAACTCCTGACCTCGTGATCCACCTGCCTTGGCCTCCCTAAGTGCTGGGATTACAGGTGTGAGCCACCGTGCCCCGCTTCCTTTAGTGATTTTAAACCATAATCTCTGAGGATGCCCTTTTCCTAGGCAGGCAAACTGAGCATGTCCGCCCAGGGAAGGACTTGAGCAATGCTGTCCCTGCACTCATCTCCCAGACACCTGGATCCTGTGCTCTCAAATGTGAACGAATGGGACACCACATGGCACAGGGAGAGAGAATTTGTTTATTGGGATCACTGGGTGGAGGTGGAGGAAGAACTGAGTGGCTGCTGTCCTGGTCTGGGGATGGATCAGGCACCAAGCTTAGGGGAGGGAGCCCAACACCAAGTTAGTAAAATAATAAAACAGTGGTCGGGCAGGGGGAAGACCCACTGCCTGGGATGAGGCTGCTCTGGGGCAAGAGGTGTACGTATCCTACCTGTCCCAAACACACACTTCCCTACTGGCTGTTTGGCCTGTCAGCGCAGGGAGCGCAGGACAGTGGGCGATGCGGAGCGGTAGCAGCGGTACCCCTCCAGTGCTGCTGGCAGGAGCAGCAGGCCACTCAGGGGGTCTTTGCGGCAGCGGCCCATGGCCTCCTTGTAGCTCAGCCGTTCCTTGGAGATGGGGTCTGTCAAATCCTTCTCGTAGCTGGACTCGTCCTGCAGGAGCTGGGCCAGCTCCTCGCTGATCATCCCGGAGAGGAGGGCCTGCTGGATGGGGATGCGGCCTGTCCTCTTGGGGTCAATGAGCCCCCCGGTCAGGTGCTGCACCTGCAGGTGTGGAAGCACACTCTCCCGGGGCATCCACCCCTTCTGGACGGCCTCGCCCACCGACAGCCTCTTCTTGGTGACAGGGTCCTCGATGCCAGTGAAGGCCTTCTGGGCGTTGAGCAGCCTCTGTGTGGAGGTGTTCTCGATCAGGCCCCTCTCCATGGCCTTGTGCACAGAGTAGCGCTCACGGCTGAGCAGGTCCACGATGCCCCCTGTGGCCGCCTGGGCCTCCAGTAGCTTCTGCCCAGTGATGGGGTCCAGCATGTTCTTGGCCACGGCCGTCTTGATGCTGCACTTGTTGTCTGTGGTTGTGTCATAGATTCCGGCGATAGGGAAGCTGTCATCACCGAGCCCGAGAGAGAAGCTGGGAGAGAAGAAACTGGTGCTCTGGGGGACCGGGGAGGCAAGTGGGGACTTGGAGATGATAGAGCCGATGGAGAGCGAGGAGCTTGGCTTGGTCTCCCCAGCCACAAGCAGTGCAAACTCAGAGATGGGCAGGTGGCCATCCTTGTACAGATGGTACTCCTCCTTAGAGATGCGCCGGCAGCGAAGGGCCGCCTCGATAGAGTACTGCTTCCCGCTCTTGCGGTCCAGGAGCACAGACTCCTCCCCACAGGGCCCCGAGGTGGTGACCTCCTCCCAGTCGCACTCGAGCTCCTGCAGCTGTAGGTACTGGTCTCTGTCGATGACGCCTCTCTTGTAGGCCTCGTACGGGGACATGTCCTTCCCTGTCTCGGGTTCCAGGATGGAGATCTTGGTGGAAAGGTTGGTCTCTCGCGTCTGGGTCTCCTGGCTGAGCTCCTCCCGGCTCACCTTGGCGTGGAGGTCCCGGAGGGTCCGCTCCTTCTCGTAGATCTGGTCCTTCTCGCGGAGGATGGCCGCCTCGAGCTGTGAGAGCTCCTGGCCCCGCTGGGCCGCCTTCTGCCGCTCGCTCTCTGTCTTCTGGCTAAGCAGCTTCGACTCCTCCTGCAGCTGCAGTGTCTGCTGCTGCTTCTGCCTCTCCAGAGCCCGCAGCTCCTGCTGCAGCCGCCCACGCTCCTGGTCCGCCTGGTCCCGGGCCCTCTGCAGTTCAGCCTCCTCCCGGGACCAGGTCCTCCCCAGCCTCTCGGCCCGGTCAATGCGCTCCCGCAGGCGCCGCGCCTCCTCCTCCCTGGCCTGCCGGGCAGTGCGCTCCCTGGTGAGCATCTCCCACAAGCGGGACCGCTCGTCCTCCAGCACGCGGTCCTTCTGCACCCGGATCACTTCCTTGTAGATGGTCTTCTCCTGCGATTTGGCTTTCTGGAGAACGTCAATCTGGACCTGCAGGTTCTTACACTCCCGATGCAGCTCCGTCACCTGGGCCTTCTCCTGGTCCAGGTCCCGCCGCAGGGCTTCCGTGGATTTCTCCAGGTCCGGGTCCTTCTCCAGCTTGACCACTTCCTCCATGATGATCTTCTCCTGCACCGTGGGAGGCCGCTTCTCGAGCTCCTGGATCCTCAAGGTCAGCTGCCGCAGCTCCCTCTCCACGGCCAGCTTCTTGCTGCGGTCCTCCTGGAAGCTGAGCAGGCCCTCCTGCTCCTCTACGCTGGCCCGCAGCTGCTGCACCTCAAGCTCCAACTGGCGCCGCCGGCCCACCTCCTCGTCCAGGCTCCGGCTCAGCCGGCTATGCTCCTCGCGCAGCTTCGGGTCCTTCTGGGTGACCACGACCTCCTGCACCACCACCTTCTCCTCGGGCTTCCTCCTCTCCAGCAGCAGGCTCTTGCTCTGCAGCTCGTGCACCGCGTCCTCCGCGGCCCGTCTCTTCTGGGCCGCCTCCCGCACCTCCTGGCGGAGCCGCTCTGCTTCCTTCTCCAGCACCGGATCCTTCTCGTGGCGCACCACCTCCTTGCTCACCGTCCTGGTCTCCACCTTGGCCCGCTCGCGCCTCCACTCGTCGCGCTCACCCTGCAGGCGAATGAGCTGCTCCTGGGAGCGCCCGTGGCTGTTGACGAGCTCATTGAGCTGAGCCTTCAGGCGGTCGATCTCGCGCAGCACCTCGGGGCTCTTCTCGTGCCTCACCACCTCCTGGGTCACCTCCTTGTACTCCACCGTGGGCTTCTGGGCCCGCAGGACCTCTAGGTCGGGCAGCAGCTTCTCCACCTCCTTCTCCACACCGCTCCTCTTGCCCGCCATCTCTTGCAGCTTGGCCTTGAGCCGAGTGATCTCCTGCTCTGTCTCCGGATCCACCTGGAAGATCTCGTGGACGCGCTCCTGGAGCTGCACTTTGGGCCTCTGCTTCTCCACCATGCTGTACTTGCTGTGCAGGTCGCTCAGCTCCCTGGCCAGTGTCGCGTTCTTGCTCCTCTCCTCCTCGAGAAGGCTCCTCAGCCTGGAGGACTCCTGGAGGAGCCCTGGGTCCTGCTCCACCTTCTTCACCTCCTTCACGATGACCTTGGGCTCCACCAAGCTGATAGCCCGCTCCAGGTCTCCGATGCGAGCCTGTAGCTTGGTCACAGCCTCCTCCGCCTGCTTCCTCCGGGCAGCATCCTCCTCAATCTGCAGCCTCAGAGCCTGGGTGGCCTTGACCATTTCCAGATTCTTCTCCACCTTGACCACTTCTTTCACCACAACCTTCTCCTTCACGTCCACCTCCCTCTTCTCAAGGGCCAGTAGCTCCTTCTTCAGCCCTTCCAGCCGGGCTGAGATGACGGCATCCTCCCTGCGGAGCTGCTGGATCTGGATCCTGAGCTGGGCCGCCTGGCTGTCCAGGCCGGGGTCCCTCTCTACCTGGGTGACCTCCTTGGTCAGCAGATGAGGCTGCATGGTCTTCCTCTTGCTCTCCAGTTGCACGACCTTCTGGGCTGCCACTTCCAGGTCTGCCTGCAGGCCAGCCCGCCGCTTGCTCTCCTCCTCTACCTGGGCCTTCACCCTGGACAGGCTGCCCTCCAGCTGGGGGTCCCGGTAGAACTCCACCACTTCCTTCTCCTCCAGCCTCTCCAAGGGCCGCTGGGTCCTCAGCTGCAGCAGCTGGCTCCTCTGGGCCTCCAGCTCACGCTGCACTTGGGCCACCCGCTTCCTCTCCTCTTCCAGCTGGGCCTTCAGGGCCTCTGACTCTCTCCCTGCTTGGGCAGGGGTCTCGGAGCCCTGCTTTGCATCGTGGGTCCCTCGGATGTCCTCACTGAGCTCCTTCTGCAGAGAGGAAGAAGGGTAGAGCACGGGGGTGGGCGGTGGAGATAAGAGCTTCATGTTTTTCCTGAGATGAAAGACCCCTCCCTCTTTCCTGAGACTCCCCAGTGGGTCCTCAGAGGTGGAGCTGAAGACCTAAGATGCTTGGATATAGGATTTTGAGAAGACCCAGTCAATGCAACGATTTTAGGACCCAAGGCAGTGTGCAGGCCTGGTTTGCATTAGAAAGCGCAAATAGGGGCCAGGTGCGATGGCTGATGCCTGTAATCCCAACACTTTGGGAGGCCAAGGTGGGCGGATCACCTGAGGTCAGGAGTTCGAGACCAGCCTGACCAACATAGTGAAACCCCATCTCTACTAAAAATACAAAAAATTAGCTGGGTGTGGTGATGCATGCTGTAATCCCAGTTACTCAGGAGGCTGAGGCAGAAGAATCACTTGAACCAGGGAGGTGGAGGTTGCAGCGAGCTGAGATTGTGCCATTGCACTCCGGCCTTGGTGATAGAGCGAGACTCCATCTCAAAAAAAAAAAAAAAAAAAAAAATGCAAACAGGACAGATTCTCCCTGTCCCTCCAGAACTTCTCCCCTTTCCCCTTCCATCCAGGGACACTGACTGTGGCCGAGGGTAACAGAAAAGCTAGTAAGTCACCAGGAGTCCTGGAGAAGTTCTGGCTCGAGGGTGGAGAACCAGGTGG